CCCACTCCTGAAAAAGTTCTTCACACAAGTAGGAATGCATTGTTTATGAAATGGGATGTACTACAACTAGTCATGCACTGGACAGCTTGTGAAAGATGAAAACACAGTGTGCACATGACTTATGTATGTGGGTTCTTTTAAAGAAGTTTTGCTTAAAGGACCCAAAGCTTAAAAGAAGAAAAAGGTTTAAGTGACATGATCCCCTGTGTTATATGTCATGCTTTTGGTGGAGTTCTCGCAGCCTTGCTTGCTGCCTTCTGTAGGTTTGACGGGGAGGGACCTTTCTGGGCTGAGGTGACTGTCAATCTATCTAGCACTAACCTATAGTTCCTCCTGCTTCTGATTAAAAAAAGAACCCCACCAATTTTCCCCATTTCTTTTGTCTGTTGGAAGTAGTGAGTCTGTTGAAGTCTGTTGCTACAGCAATCGGTCATGTTTGCCTATTTGCTGTTTGACCTGTTTATTGTAAGCAATGAAACCATTTATGCTTTTTGTAGGGGAAAAAGGTGCTGCAAAAAAGTACTTTGATACAAAATAGGCCAAAAACAAAGTCTCCGATATTTTTATTGCCCAAAGCAGAAGATCCATAGTACAAAGAAAACAACTCTGTGTATGCAATCTGTGGAAGTCCTGTGAGCCCCACTGGCCCTTGCTGGATCAGTAGGTGCTCTCTCTTCCACCCTCTGCTCTATAAATGAAGTCGCAGGTGTTTATAACAAAAGAGGGTGATCAAAACTTTTAAATAATAATTTATTGTCATTGGACGTATATACACCGTATACACATACAACAAAACTGGAACTGTCCCAGGCTAGTTTCAGGCAGTGTCTGGGTGTGAAGTCCCAAATCTGTAAGTTCTGAGCCTATGGCCTCTCCAGTTAACACCACCAGAAGGGTTTTCCATATAGTTCTCCTCAGTGAGGTTGCCCCTATTGGACAACCCAATGGATTCGGCAAAGGGGCTATATTCCTGTACTGGAGAGCAGAGGTGCTGGACTCTGGGTCCCACTACCGCTTGGACCATTGCTTGTTGAGCCTGGGTAGCCACTACCACTTCCTCCACCAGCATCTTGCTTTGATCACCTTCAGTGATTGCCCTCAGAGGTGATCCTGCTTGGATCACTTCTGAGGACTCCCTCATCTGCTTTGCAGCAGCACTCCCTCCTCTCCCATTCACCCCAATAGGAAAGGCATGGAAGAGGATGGTGATTAAAGTACCTCTCTCTGCCCCCATCCTGGGACACTCAGAGCTGGACCAACACCCTGGTCCAAGGAACCTCCTTATAGTCCCCAGGTAGCTCTGGGTCTTCTGGAAGTTCTAATTTAGATGGAAGACTTCCTCTCCTGGGCTCTCAATGGAATCCTCCCAAGAACCCTCTTCCTCCCAGGGCTCTCTAACTCCTTCCTGGATTCCTGAGCAAGATCTCTTCTTCTGGCGACTAAGTTCTCCTTTCTGCCCAGCTTTGATTGAGGAGTCATTAGCCAGAAACATCTCTCCTAGGTCCCTCAGAGGAATCACTGTCTGACACTCAAGCTTTTCCCAGAGGATGTGAGACGGCCTGCTAAAGAGGGTCATCTGTGCCAGCATCCCTTTCCTTAAGGCCTTAAAATGAAACACAGTTTTAGATACAAATATGTATACTACTACATGGATTCATCCCTCCAACAGTCCTCCTGCACAAACGGACTGAAATTCTGTCACCTAAACAAATGTGATAAGGTCCCATATCATCCTCTAGGGATGACAATAGCTTCCGCCCTCTCCAGCTCTCCCTACCTCTTTCCAAAAGAGATTTCAGAATCCCTTCCTGAGATTTCTCCACCCGCTGGGAAGAAACATGTAGCCTACAAGCATTACCATATAATGCCTTCAGATTTCACTTTTCAACAATACAGGCAGAAAAAAATAACCCTCTGTTTTCTAAAAAGAAAGAGACATACCTGTTTTAATCCAGCTGTAAACATAGCTCTTAAATTCACTTCAGCAGAGGACAAAGCCACTGCCCTCTATGTAAACAAATCAAAACAAATACAATGATAATGATTTCTGAGGTCTCATTTCTGGCTTGCTTTGTTTCCTTCCTTCTTTCAACTGTTTATGCTTATATTCTTGTTTTGTGCTTTTAAAGTATCTTTTCCTCCCCCTCCCCTGAAAACAGAGGAGATTTCCATTTGGGCAGTTCATGTTTCAAAAACTAGCTGAAGAAGTCATGCCATTGTGATCATGAATGCAAAGAAAAGCTGGAAAATAATGGTCCTTTAAAATGTAATACAGAAGAAATGTAACCTTTAGGAAATCATCTGCTTTTCATTTTAATGATCTAGTTATATAAATGCCTAATAGAGGCTTTGTTGCTTCACTCATTTGTGTGCAATAATGGGGGAAATCATAGCAACACACCCTGTTTGAATGCCACAATTTAAAAGGATCATAATCTTTATTGCCCCAGCACTATTGTAGATTAAATGGCCCCTGGTGTGGAACAGATAATAATGGAAACACTCACAGCAGGTTTCACATTGCGGTGAGATGTAGAAAAATCAAAGTAGGCCCCCATAATAGTCAGTTGTATCTACCCAAAACTGAACCAGTTTTCTCACTATATTGCCTTTAGCAGCACATTATATGTCTGTAGCAGCAGTTCATTCAGAATACCTAACAGATCTAAGTAAGGGTGTGATCACACCAGCCAAATGTACTCCAGTTATAACTGTTATATCATTGCATAGATTTCCGTTCACACAACGCAAGGCCATGATCAAATCGTTTTCTCAGCCAGTGGTGTATCTGAAGTTTATTTCTCCCTCACCAGGAGGGTTGTGTTATTTTGTACCAATGACATATAGATTAATTCTGTACTGGTGTTGCATGTGTGCATGTGCCTATTAATTTATTTCCTTGGCAAAGGGCTTGGGTTTCTGTGGGGAGGCAGAACCAGAGAACTGCAGTACAATCACTACGGATGTCAAGCGCCAATCTGCCTCTCTCTAATTGTCCCTCCTCGCTTTTTTTGCCAGATGGAATGGGGCAGATGAGGCATGGAGATCAGCAGCAAGGGGAGGGGGAGCCCTTCAGAGGACGCAAATCAGAGAGGAAAAAAGTCATAAAGTCTGAAGCTCCTTCCAACTCCCCAACTGCCCTCACCCCAATCCTCACAACTTCCAGGGTTTTTTTGCCTGCAATCTGTTCTCAACAGGCTTGTTCAGGGTTGGGGTGGGTGGAGAAGGTTGCTTCTCTATCTTTCTTTTTTTAAACCCTCTGCTCTTGCAAAGTACCATGCTCCATTGCAAAGGGAACAGGGAGGATGAGAGAAGGCTCATTGCACCACAGATTTTTGGTTTTTTAAGTAAGGTGCAGCACTGTCCCAGGAAACAGCAGAGAAAATTAATCGATTCCTTGGTGTAGCCGGCCATAGTGTTTCACATAGGAGGAAATGAATCAGTAAGGTTAAAACAAATGGGAAGCTTCATCCAGGTATATATACCACTTGATTGCAATTCAATACAATAGAGGTATGGAAAGAATTATTAAAATTTGGCTGATGTGATCAGGCCCTAAGTTCCATTGTTCAGTGGAGAGCTGTGTTTGTATGCAGATGCAGCTCCTACAAACAAAAGTGCAAAATATATTTGGCACCATGAAATGAAAGGATGGGAAATGCATTGTGGAAGAATGGAGAGGAGATTAAGCCCTTCACTTTTTAAATCAAAATTTTGTGATCTGGCAGATTATTGTAATCGGTTTTCATCATCATTCCCCTCTCTGTATGTGATAGGAAGAACCCATTGATTTGAACAGAGTGGGGATACTTAATAACAAACAAAAACACTGAAAATAATTTGATTAATTTGAAAACTTGCTAAACTCTAAACTCTACACTAGCAGGGCTGATGATTGTCCCACCTTGTGCAAATTCTTGTGCAAATGTTTATAAGATACTGTGCAAAAGGTTACACAAGGCCTCAGACTAATATGCAAGATATTTGCAAAAGATTACACAAGGTCTCTGAGTAATGAAAGGAATATTCACTCTTTTCACACAAGGTTTTGTGCAATGACAAGGAAAGCCCTTTCTTTAGCAGAAGAAGCTTTCCGTTTGTTTACGAGCAACTCTGGAGCAAAACTACCCTCACAGACGTGTTTTTCCATGAGGTGATTCCTTGCTTTTGAACTCTTTGTGCTTTTCAAATCTATTCCTCTTTCCCTTGCACAGAATTCAGACAGGAAGTCTGTATCCCTAGTTAAAGTTGTTATTTGAATTATTTAAAACATTTCACAATGCTATTGCGAAAGAAGAATCAGATATACAGATGCTTACTTTATCCTGCGGAACTATTGTTGAAGAGAGTTGTTTCGGTTTCATCAAATTACAGTCCATCAGTTCATTAACAATTAATGCTTGCAGCATGCCATCAAGTTGCTTCCAGCTTATGGTGACCCTATCCAAGGTTTTCTAGGTAGAGTGCCTTCTTCTGAGGATACCCTGGAACTCTGCAGCTTGCCCAAGGCTACTCAGGTTAGCTCTTCTACCAGGAGGCACAGTGAGAAATGAAAGTCCCAAACTCTGGCTCAGCAGCCAGATATCTAAACTACTAAGCTGTCCAGCCAGTCCTACATTCAACCTTTACTACAGAGACAGCTCTTGAGGAGGTACAATCCACAACCTGTGAGCAGGGACTGAGAAGGCGGTCTCTTGATACATTCATTGAATTGAGCAGAAGGACAATTTCTATGACTCTCTTCACGATTCCATGACTCTGCCCCTTATCAAAATATTTTAAAGTTACATTTAAGAAAATTTTAAAGATAATGCATTAAATATTCCAGAAGACTGTCTAATATTTAAGTTGATCTGAACCAGAGAATATTTCTAATTCGACAATGGATTGAAAGAAAAACGCTTATTTTCTGTACAATAAATATATTCTCTGTTAAAATAAAATTTAAACCCTTATACGGAAGAAGTTTTAATTAATGTCCTCCTCCCTTTTGCCTTTAGGTCTTATCATGGGATTAATTTTACGATATGCTACAGCACCATCTCATTTTGAAAATGGAGTAGTCTATGACTGTGAGAAGCTGAAGGCCGGTTTGCCCACTCTGCTTATCAACGTAACAAATCAAGTGTACGAATATCAATACAAAAGGGAAATCAGCCGGCAGAATGTCAATGCACACCAGGGCAATGCAATGCTGCAAAAGGTAAAGTGACTATCTTAGGAATGGTAAAAAAGCTTGGTTTTTCTTTTTTGATTGACTCCAGCATAAAGAGGAAGAAAATAAAAGCTTGTTTAAATGTAGCACAAACAAATGGTTTCTCACCTTAATTAATTGTTCGTATACAATCAGAAAACAGAGATACGAAGGGAATCAATTATCCTTTCTACTAGAAACACACATCTCAGCCTTGCTACTTTCATGCTTTGAAGCATGGAAAAATTTGACACAAATCACTTAAAATAAAAAAAGATAATGATGCAACCTGCAGAGGCTGCATCCCCTCAGAGGCAGCACCAAGAGGAGGCAGGGCAGTGAAGCCAGAGTGCTGACTCTGAGTGGGAGCCCACTCGCAGAGACAGGGCTGGGAAGTGCTGAACACCTGTTCGGCTAAAGGATGAACTGGCATGAACCACTGGTTTGGTGGTTCATGACCATCTCTACAACCCATGAGACCATAGGTGCTTATCCACACACACACGTACACACAAAGTCTGAAGCAGAGCAATATTTTGTAAAAAAGTTTAAAAGAAGTAGTAAAATGGAGAGTGCAAGGCTCAGGTTATATACGTAGCACTCATGCAAGTCCCTCACTTGGCACTGAAGCTAAGCCAAGTGCCACCAGGACCGCCTGCAACGGAATATATATACAGATGGGTAGCATCACGTAGTGAGCTTCCACATCATCTCGCAAGGTGTTGGGTTTCATTTGGAGGTGAAGTGGTCAACCTCCTTCTCCACAGCTGTCAGCTCGTTGTTTTCCTTATAAAGTACCAATACTTCAAATTTCCCTTCCATGCTTTTAATCACATTGTTATTATTTTTTTAAATTTAAACATTTTAACCATACAAATGACAGCTTTAACATGAAATATTCACACTACCTGTGAGTGCTCCAGACTTTTTGCTTCGTGTTGTGGCTACCTTAGAAAGGCACAAACAGTCATAGCAACCTTGTTGACATTTCATCATTCAGCATATTTGCAGCAGACATTTGCTTAAAAAAAAATTGAAAGGAAAATCTTTCTATGGTCCACTTCCACAATAAAGTCAAGAAAAGATTCTGGAAGAGTTCTGATGTGCTCAGAAACCACATATCCTTGCTGGCCCAACTTGAATACATAATGAACTTTCAGAAGTTGTTTTCCATTCATTCCAACAGATTTAGTGAGTTATGAAGGAGAAAGACCTCTCCCACTGTTGGTCTCAGCAACCAGTGTTCACACCTATGTTGTCTTCCAATCCTGCAGGCAACGTATGTCTGTCCTGTCTAGCCCATCCAGTCTAGTACCCCTTCCTTCCATCCGTTTGTTTATTAAAGTAATAGAATTTGGTGGCCATACCTATATAGAGAGATGGGATTTTCTTGAGTACAAATATTATAATTCTCCATTTTGGGAACCCTAACTACCTTAACAAAAATCTTAACATGAGGCACCTGGGAAAAGGGCCTACATTGGAAGGCTTATGGCTTAGCTCTGTCCCAGTGTCTTACTTGGAAAGAAAGCTCCCAGCTAGCACTGGAGCAGGAAGTTTGAGCAGAGCTGGTGTCCCAGTGTCTTACTTGGAAAGAAAGCTCTCAGCTAGCACTGGAGCAGGAAGCTTGAGCAGAGCTGGACCTAGCTAAATCTTCCAGTTTAGGTCTTTCTCCCAGGTGCATCACATTAAGGTGGTCGTAAGATATGTCCTAGCTAAATCTTCCAGTTTAGGTCTTTCTCCCAGGTGCATCGCATTAAGGTGGTCGTAAGATATCTGGGGATGTGGTGGCACTATGGGCTAAACCGCAGAAGCCTGTACTGCAGGGTCAGAAGACCAGCAGTCGTAAGATTGAATCCACGCAACGGAGTGAGCTCCCGTCACTTTGTCCCAGTTCCTCGCCAACCTAGCAGTTCAAAAGCATGTACATGCGAGTAGATAAATAGGTACCATCTCGGTGGGAAGGTAAAACGGTGTTCCCTAGTCACACTGGCCACGTGACAATTCAAATTGTCTTTGAACAGGCGCTGGCTCTATGGCTTGAAAAGCAGGATGAGTACCGCCCCCTAGAGTCGGACACAACTGGATTAAAAATGTCAAGGGAAACCTTTAAATTTAAAATATCTGTAAGGTAGGCAGAACTCCCAGAATTATGGTAGAAAAATTGAAAATTCCATCCTTAACTATATCACGTGGTAACACATTCCGTATTTTTTCAGCCCTTTTCCCTCTTAATAAGCAAATAACAAACAAGGTTTAGGAGACCGTCCAGTGGTATGCCATGATTGAAAGAGAGCATGGTCACACCTAGCTTTGATCTGGATCTTTAATCTGGTTCATGTACCTCAGCCTGCTTTGGATGTAATGTTAGATCATAGTTTCCATTTGAGAATGTCCAAATTATGTGAAGCACTCTGAATTGTCTCAAGTGTAATATAAATGTCATTGTTAAATCCAATGAGGCTTTCTTTTCATCACAAGTTGCTTAAAACAACACTGGCAGATACTGGTGTACTTCACATCTAGTTTATAGACTTTCCAAAAACCACTGGATAGACACTGTGAGACTCTTCTTATATATTAAAACATATATTGATCAGTTACAGTTTTTGTCCTTCATAAGGCAGGAGCACTGCCACAAAAATCAGGTTATACTGTGGTATTTGTGATTTGTTTCTACTAGCTAAAGTATGCCATACTTTTCTCAAATTAATCTTCATTCTGCTGTATTTATAGGAATACATAATATTACTAGGGTTGTTTCAAATGCAATTAATCTCCCTCCCTAAACAGTAGAGGGGAAAGATATATAAAACCTACTTGCTAGTTTAATCCTGAAGTTAATGTGGCATTTCAGACTCTCAGTCCAGAAGACTATAAGTGATAAAAAGTTCTTGCTCTAACTTCCTCCACTTCCCATAAAGTTGTCAGTGCAGCAAAATTTACTACTTGCTGTTATTGGCCAGCCACTTCACATTAGTATAATAATTTCAAGTAAGCAGAATGATTTTTAAAAATTGCTGAGTTCTCGCTTCCTGTTTATTGAGTTGAGCTATCTCCTGGACAGAAAAAAAGGGAAGTCATTTTGCAGTCAGGATGTATTGTTACGGAACTAAATAATTCATCTAGGATCATAACCCCATAAAGGAAGGCACTTTATTGGAACAAAGGAGCTGCAGACCATTTTGCTAATGACACGTTCCTGCTTTTAAAGATATTAATCTAGCAGAAATTACTGGACATGAAGAGAAATTCAGTGCCTTATAAAAAAATAATATTTATAATCTAGCAGGTTCATATTCTAAGTGGGATTCTAAGTGGGATTCTGCTGGAACTAGACATAAGGAAGAACACTGCTAGCTTAATAATGCTAGATGAAGTGTAAATGTAGAGTAATTATGTCTGCATTTAATTCTGACATCACGCTAAAAGGGGCATCAATTTGAGCCCCCAGCCCCTTTAATTTAAATAATCAAACACACAGTAACATCTGCCAGTGATACGTTCTAGGTTTGCAATTCACAAATGAATTGATGACTTTTAGATGCTACAAATAGAAATAAAGCAGTATTGTTCACACAGCCTAATATTGAGGCTTTAAAAAAAATCAAAGCCTATTGGTTATTTTTCTTGCCTAATGTTTGCTGTTCTTCCACAAGCAAAGACCTTTCTCTTCAGGCAAACTTTCCTTAGTGACTGGTTTTCTGAGTGGGTTTAAATAGATGGTTGTGCCTTTACTGTTTTGAATATATATTCGATGTTGCTTTTGTTTATTGTTTTTAATGCAGTATTTGATCCTTTTTAGTATTTTATAGGACTTAGTATTTTAGTATTTTTCGTATTTGTATACTTACTATTTTTAGCTTTGAATATTATCTTTGAGTCCTTTTTAAAGAGAAAGGCAAGATAAAAAATATTTAAAATAAATATTTCTGAGCCAAAGCAGGAACAAGGAAGATGCACCTTTCTACTGTAGTAACATCACCAGTTCCCTGGTCATCTAATGGAGGATTGTTATGCATGTATTAAACAATGGTTATGTCAAAAACGTTAAGCGAGGCACCACTGTATTAAACAATGGTTATGTCAGAACATGGAATGTTGTTTACCGGAAGTCATCTGGATGTTCCTTTGCGCATGTGTCTTTTAAAGAGGAAAGCTAGTTGGTCATATTAATATTCTCATGACTTAACTAATTCATTAATGATACCCTTGGAAATAATGAAGTACATGTTGCTTTTTAGATATACACCTAAACTGTGACTACACTTTCCCTTTTGGAGTGGGTTGCTGTGGTCTAAAGAGGGGTCAGAGGAAGAAGCAATATGCCATTTGGTGTGACTGTCATATCCAAGTGGCATATGGACCTCAAGCAATCCTATTTAGTCTGGGATTGACACTCAGCTGTCAATTTCCAGGATCATGAAGTGGCTTAATAAGCAAGCCACTTCAAGATATTGGTAAATTGAATACTTCCCCTGCAGTAGAAATAAAATTGTGATTTAGATGATGCTTCTGCTAGACCATTGCTGATGCACTGTGATTAAAGTTTTTCAAAAATCTATTTTCTTTGCCTTGTGTGTAGTGCCAATTGAGAAACTGCCTGCACCCACAGTTTCAATTAGCTCTTCAGACATAGCTCTAAAGACTATTTTAAAAATTTAATCTATGTGGTTCTGCACAACAGCAATGGTCTATCAGAGAATAACGATAACCAAAAACCAAAACCATAAATCATTTATCAAGCCACTTCAGGATAACAGAAATTGTCAGTGAAAAGAGCCATGATAGCTTTGACAGCTTAAAGGCTCAATTTTGGTTTGTTCCCGGTGATCACATGTGCTGCCAATGGACCAAACTACAGAGTACCTACCCGCAACAAAAAAATAAAACCCAAGACAGGGTCTCAAAAAGGTGCACGTAGGGGCACTCCAGGGACAGATTGGTTTGCTCTAGTGGTCAGGTTGTCTGATCACCAGGAAAAAAGAGTGAACTAACCCACCCCCACA